AAAAAAAAAAAAAAAAAAAAAAAAAAAAAAAAAAAAAAAAAAAAAAAAAAAAAAAAAGAGGCTTAAAATGAATTTTTAAAAACCACTTGAATTAAAAGACGGACCCTTAACCTAATTTAAATTTGTATATTCTATAATTCAATGATTTTCCTTTCAAATTATTTATAAAGAATTCATCAGATTTTAATAACTTATTCACAATAAATAATTATATTTAAATAAATAAATTTAATAATAAATTAGACCTTCTAGTCAATTTGAAAAATACTGTCGTATTATCAATGGCATTAGAGCTAAATACCAAATATTATCAAATGGCATTAGAGCTAAATATCGAACAGTGTGCCAGCGAGTACGCTAGGTGCCACAATCGCGATTTCTAGATAGCGAATTTGGCGATTGTGCAACACCCACTCTCAGCATTGAGTGGATCAAGCCTACTTCGAGTTACGTTGTCTACGGTCGAACAACATGAATACAAACCTCGAGTCTCGATTTCAAGAGAAAATTTTAGAAAGCGAGAAAGAGAGGTTTTGGAAAAGAGTTTCAAGAGCAAAAGAGAGATTGAAATTATTGAAATTGGTGTTATACGGGAATGTAAACAAAAGGCAACAACTCACTGCATATAACTATCGGATAGGGAGAAGTTGACAAATAGTCATATCCTCCTATAGTACATTTTGAGGCATTTCATGTCTACCAGGCATAGTCATGAAGAAATAATACAACATGAAAACGGTAAAAGAAAGCAATAAAGTAGTACAAGGCGAAGGTTTCAACGTGTCATGGGCATACGACCATGGACGACATGCCTTGGACAAGCATGACCGTTATACTAGGCCCTCAAGGGAGGGGATTGTGAGATCTCACATCGATCAGAGAAGGGAACAAAACATTCCTTATAAAGTACGAAAACTCCCTAACAGCCCGATTTTAAAAACCTTAAGAGGAAGCCTATAAGAAAAAACCTAAAGTGAACAATATCCGCTAGCGGTGGACTTAGACTATTACACTAAATATCATTCGTTCAGACTTTCTGGCCATTATTATGTCAATTTTTCTTCTAATACTCTAATGCATTTCTACTTTAAGTATCGTTCTAAAACGTTCATGGAAGGTCGGAGGTGACACGAACATTCACTAATAAAGAACTAGCCCACCACCCAACTTTTACTTAATTAAATCCAAGGCCTAACAGAATCCAAAAGCAAAACACTTGAAGGAATGGCATTAAAACCTGAAAAGAGCATCTGTCCAAAGCCATTGATTTGGTGCTTTGTAGCAACCATTCAAAGAAAACAGGGCTGTCTTGCATTAACCAAAGCACTGTCCAATGGGAAACCAAAGAGACAATCAATCAATCAGTGATAAGGTCCACATGAAAAGAACAACTTCCCTTTTACATTCCACTGACAAAACCAACAACATTGATACCTAATTTACAATAGTACCCTCGTCTACGTACTCGAAATTACCATAATCTCCCTCGATTTTAGCTTCTTCCTCCTACTACAAGACTTATTCTAATACCCTTCATACAGAATTCACATGCATACTACTACAGCCACGTTACGATACACTAAGATTACACGAATATATGAAGGTTTTGGAGAACATTGTTGAAAGGGAATAAGAGAGCTCAGCTTATTAGATCTCACATGTTGTGAGGAGAAGAAGGGCTCCCGGGTCCACTATCGGTTGCCTTTGTGTATGTGTCGGAGATCGACCTTCTTCGAAACCGGAAGGACTCCCTACCTCCAAAAGGGAGAAATTACTTATAAATAAACACAAAGTTGAAAGATGATACCAAGAGATGGGAAATCAAGAATTAGTATATGCATCGATTACTAATGAATTTACAGTTTCATGATACAATTTATGAGGTATGGAAATCAGAGACATAGGAAACAAGAACGGAAATTTTCGATATGAAAGACAAACGATCCAGGAAAAGACCACTAAAAACAAGCTTTGAAACATCAAACCCAACAGCAAAACAACGTTATAGAGAGAATTTTCTATTGCTAATCGATTTCTAAACAATCCTTCTTTAGTTCAACGATGATACATACGAAGCTTCGCAATGGTATGATATTGTCCACTTTGAGCATAAGCTCTCGTGATTTTGCTTTTGGTTTTCTCAAAAGGCGTCATACCGATGAAGACAAAGCTCCTTACTAATAAATCCACAATCAACCCCTTAATTAGCCAATATGGGACTCCTCTCCCAACAATCCTCAAGATTAAGTAGTTAAGCTATAATCAAATTGGTATTTCTAAATGATTTTAGTAACGTTCAACTCAACCCATCAGAGCAAAAACTTAAGCAGCAAGGGTTTTGAAACAGAGAAACAATGAACATTAAGTTTGCAATGATGATTTCACAAGATCCAGATTTTTTCTTTGACCACCATGAATGTTTATGAAGTAAGCTCGACGTTTTCAAACCAAACCACAATTCCCACCTATTTCATTTAACTTTTTATAAGAAATCAGCAGAACCACACGAAATACTTCTACTTGTTTGACAAAGATCTGCCAACCAACGAGCAAGGCAAACAACCTCCACAAAACAGGAGAATAGTCTATAACTATGTCCACAAGAAGAGAAGTATGCAATGAATTTGAAAACGATTGAACTGAAAACTGCTAATGAAACCCCATAAATACGGTGGGTCAATGGATTAAATATTCAATGGCAATCGAATTTAAACGAACAGAAGCACTTTCAATGGAAGGATGCTCTTCAATCCAGGTTTAATTAGAACCATATCTTTTCACCAAATACACTACCGTTTTCTGTGCCTGTCCAATCATGAAGGCGACGCCATAACCAAAGGACAAAAAACCCCCCCTCGTGTAATTTTATTCCAACTTGTATTGAAAGATAAAAGTGCATTTGGATTCTACATGAAGGGCATATTGGTAATTTTGCATAAAGAGGAAAGGGCAAAAAAGACGTCTCTGTTACTTACCAGAAAAAGGCGATGCCGGAGAACTAGATCCAGCCGGTGAAATAGGCGGCGAACCAGACTGGTACCCTGGCGGCCTTAGTATCATGATACTCCTCGTGATCCTCACCGACGATTGTGAAGATTCTTCGCCGTACGATCTCGCGCTGCCGCCATCGAGCTCTGATCCAAAAAGAGTTCAATAAAAAATCAAGAAAAAAGAATAGTCAACATAGAAACTATGATTTCATGAAGTTCAAGGTATCGATTGAGCATCTTTTTCAGTTCAAAGGTACAGATCCTGTCAAATTGCGAGACAAATCCGAGATGCTGGCTATTTCTCAAGAAAAATCAACGGTAGGTTTTTATCAAGAAATTTATAAAAAAAAACTAGAATCTCAATTCGATCATCAGCCTACAGTTTAAACCACTTTAAACTAGAAAAATCAAACGAGTACTCAATATTCCGTTATTGAGCTTAAAATTAGGGTTTCAAGATTAAGTTTATCGAGTTCGATGACGTGTTCAACATGGCAAGCAGTGGAATAAAAATATCCATAGCGTACCCTTGCTGCCGGAGCTATTTCGCCCGGTAAACGTGGAGTGTTTACGAAGCTTGCCAAGGCCACTATCTGGCCGGGGTCCAGCGACGGTATCGTCCCAAAGCTGGTCAAGTAAGCCCATAAGGAACAGGAAATCGAAGAAGAGAAGAAATGGCTAAAGTCCCGTCACGGCGGAGGAAGCGGCGGTTCTCGATATTGAAGAGCTTAGAAGCGGCAGTGGGGAAGATATTTAAAGAGAAATTTGGGGCGTTAAACATCGAACAAGTCATGAGCGGTAGAGATGAAATCTGAACCGTTAGATTAATCTGGGAGACAGTGGATTGTACGGCTGATGAGAGGTGATGTTGAGGATAAGAACGTATTAACAAGTGGACCCCACGACGCGAGGATCTGGAAAGATAAGTGACACGTGGACTTTAAGGAGGATAGCGGGACCAGTTTTGCCGTGTGTGAAAATACTAAAATGCCCATTTTTGAAAACCTATATATAAAAATTTAATTATATATATATATAATCAGCTTTTAAATAAATAAATATTACATTTTGTTCTAATAAATCATTTATCTGTCTAATTTCTTTTCAAAAAAATTAATATATTTTTACATTAAATTTATTTTCTGTACAGTAAAAAAAGTAAAAAAAAAACATATTGGATAAAAAAAAATAATCCTATGCTATAAATTTGTCATTTTTCTTCTAGTCCAAGTCGATATTGACATAAATATTTTCGAACGTTAAAATTTAGCTCTAGATCATAAAGTATAGCTTCGTCAACCTTTAATTTTCTCGATAAACCGAGTAATTAATTACCACAGACAACTTAGGCACGATAACTATATAGTCGGTAGCTAAGTGTTGAGCTTAACCAACATGATATACTTCATTTCTTTAAACGATAACAAATAAAAAAATTAATTGATAGAATTGTTCGATCGTATCGTTTAAGGACAACGATCAAGAACTGCAGAAAGAACAGAACGAGACCCGTGAATAAAAAATACACGATGACAATTTGTTTGAATTGAAGGCTGCTATGATCATTCTAGCGAGAGCTACTATTGATATTGAAAATGTGTCTTATTTTTTTTAATTTATTTAAATCTATCGAGCTAAAAAGAAAGTTGACTAATGATTTTTTTTTTTAAATTTATTTTACAAGTGGGTTTATATTATAATAATTTCTAAAATATCACTAGTTGTTATCACGACGTATTAAAATATTGTATTTTAATAAACTTATAAATTAATCTATTTACGAAGAACTCGATTAAAATATGTATAATAAGACTATTAAATTCATCAAACTAATTTTATTTAAATAAATATACAATATAATTAAGATTAAAAGTTCAAATTTTTTTTAAAATGAAAAACTAAGCAAAGGACCTAGATACCAGGGCAAAAGTGGAAATATGCACAAGTCAAAATTGGTCTAGATTAGGTCGAACCAAGCCGACCAAGTCCAACCAAATCACTCCAAAGGTCTATTGGACCCGGGAGAATATGACCTACCTTGCCTTAGCCCGACGCTGATGTGAGCCAAGCTTAGTCAATCCCACGATTTAAGCTCGTCTATTTTTCTGATAAAATAAATTAATGGTTGAACCATTGTTCGTGTTTCCTTCCCTCCTAAATTAAACTATTCAATAAATAGTTGGCCGTTTATATATTATATACGACAAAGATTAGGTATAATATGATAAAGACTTTATAGTTAATAGAAAATAAAAAAGTATTTATGTAATGTATATTAATTAAATAGTTATAATTATAAGATTAAATTAACTTACACAAGTTATTGCATACATCATTTAAAATAAATAATTTATTTGAATGGGTAGGGAACATTGGAAATTTCAGAAAAAACAAATATTTTTTTAATTTAAAATTATAAAAAAGAGGTATGTTATATGTCATGGTTACGATCGTGGTCTCCCCGAAGGCAAATTCTATTAAGCTACGTTAGCGAGGTTTTTTCATCTTCAACCGAGTTTCCTTTTTCCTTTGTCTCATGACTTGTCTCGAATATTCGATCAAACTCATTGCACTCACGAGCATCATTTCGCCTTCTGTCGACTTCATCTAGACTAAGTGTTTTCAACCAATACTTGCAACTTCGTTCTTCTTCGTGCATTATAACTCTTTTGCAATTTTGACGACTTACCTGTTGCAGCTCGACATTCCCTATACATTATTAGGTTAAAGTTCTTTAAACGTGTTGTTTCATCATCTCTTATCATCTTCTTTCTCGATTACTCAATTGTCCCACTTTTACACCAAGTCGGGACCTTATCAGGATGAGTTCTGACCTTTAATGAGGTCAAAACTTTCTTAGACTTTCTTAGAAGTCTTATAAGGTATAACCAAATGATTCGTATAACGACCTAAGCCCACCGCTAGCAGATATTGTCCTCTTTGGACTTTCTCTTTCGGGCTTCCTTTAAAACGCGTTTGCTAGAAAAAAATTTCTACACCCTAATAAATGGTGTTTCATTCTCCTCCCCAACCAATGTGCGATTCTCACAATCCACCCCCCTTCGGGTCCAGCGTTCTTACTGGCACACTGCCTCGTGTCTACCCCCTTCAGAGAACAACCTCCCCGCCGGCACATCATCCAATGTCTGCCTCTGATACCATATATAACGACCCAAGCCCACCGCTAGTAGATATTGTCCTCTTTGGGCTTCCCATGAAAGTTTTTAAAACGCGTCTACTAGGAAAAGGTTTCCACACTCTTATAAATGATGTTTTGTTCTCCTCCCCAACCAATATGAGAGTTCTCACAATTCTTGTTGCTTAACTATGTGATAACCAGCTTATCAGACCCAACTAACACTTCTAATACTAGTCATGCAACATATCTTAGGGCATAACAAGCTTAACGAGTCCATCGAGTACGTCTGGGATGACTTTTGTTGTACTCTAGGCTAAGAGATGTGAATCGAGACCGAGGTCAATATTTAGGTAACATCAATAAGATGGTATCAAACTCACTAATAATCAACAGAAATGAGATCGAGTACCTTTTGAAGGGAATGAAATTACACGAGATGTTCGAGTGGGGCCCACAGTTTATTCTCATTGCAAAATATGAACGAACACAATTCATCTATCACAAGAAAAGAAAATAATTTAATCTATAAAAAGTTCAGCACATAATCAACTTCAAAATTTTGTTGATCCATAAGAATTTACTAAAACTTAGCAAAATCTTATAGACCAAATCATTCAGAATTAAAGATATTAACACTCACGGAATGAGTTTCCAAGCTCGTTTCAAAATTTCGTCATCTATATATGGTCGTAACGACCACATTAGGCGGTATGTTTCGAGTTCCCCAGAGGATGATTTGAGGCTTAGACCAGAAATAATCTTCTCCTGCAATGAGTTTCAGTTTAGATAATGAACGTAGCATTTCTCCGGAGATACCTCCCGAGATTAAGAGAGAACGTAATCATAATGCAAGAAGTAGAGCCCTCGATCGACGATTATCGGAAAAGAAAAAGACAGCATTGTATGTTCACCTGGAAAAATAACAGAGGAGGAAAAACATTACCTGCATTATGTGATCTTTCTTGACCATAACTTTGATGATCCCCATTAACAAAGCATATTCGTTAGCATCAGGTTTCTGAACAAAGCAGAAATTGATTAAAAAGAGGACAGAAAAATGCATGCCGAAATGACGTTTTCAACATCTAAGAACGTGCTTGAGAGTGATTCTGTTTTTCAATTCTGTAACAGTCCAAGCTTACCGCTAACAGATATTGTCCTCTTTAAGCCTTCCCCTCAAGGTTTTTAAAACGTGTCTGCTAGGGAGAGGTTTCCACACCCTTATAAAGAAGGCTTCATTCCCCTCTTGAACCGAGGTGGGATCTCACAATTCACCCCCCTTCAGGGCCCAGTATCCTCGTTGGCACACCGCCCGATGTCTGACTCTGATACCATTTGTAACCGCCCAAGCCCACTTCTAGCAGATATTGTTCTCTTTGGGCCTTCCCTTTCAGATTTCCCCTCAAAATTTTTAAAACGTGTATGCTAGGGAGAGGTTTCCACACTCTTGTAAAGAATGTTTTGTTCCCCTCTCCAACCGAGGTAGGATCTCACAATCCACCTCCTTTCAGAGCCCAACATCCTCGCTGGTACACCGCCCGGTGTCTAGCTCTGATACCATTTGTAACAGCCCAAATCCACCGCTAGCAGATATTGTCCTCTTTGGGCCTTCCTTTTCCAACTTCCCCAAAGGTTCTTCCCCAAAGGTTTTTAAAACGCATCTGCTAGGGAGAGGTTTCAAAACCCTTATAAAGAATGTTTCGTTCCACTCTCCAACCAATGTGGGATCTCACAATCTACCCCCCTTCAGGGCCCAACTTCCTCGTTCGCACACCGCCCTGTGTTTGGCTCTGATACCATTTGTAACAGTCCAACCCCACCGCTAGCAGATATTGTCCTCCTTGGGCCTTCCTTTTCGGGCTTCCCCTCAAGGTTTTTAAAACGCGTCTACTAAGGAAAGGTTTCCACACCCTTACAAAGAATGCTTCGTTCCACTCTCCAACCAACGTGGGATCTCACAATTACTCTCAAATATGTCGTTAATAATCTAAAATCAATTTATTATTAAGAGATAGAAGTCACAGTTTACCTTATCAGGAATGGTTGCTTCTTCATCATTCAATTCTACATCCTCATCTTCATCTGAGACCGTTGAAGCGCACAGGCGATTTTCCATTTCCAATGCAATATTTACATCATCGAGTAGGCGCTCGAGTTCATTGGTTAAGCTCCTCACTGTTGTTCCATGAAATAGTTAAATATCAGTAACAAAGTTAGAGAATTTACTTCTAAGTACTATCATACATGATAAACCACAAAAAGAACAGAAGAATGTGCCTTAGGACATAAGGACACAAAATTTTCACAAAACATAGCGAACAGCTTCAATCTTGATAGAAACATTACAAAACATACATGCTTACAGGATGCAACAAATAGCAAACAGCTTCAATCTTGATAGAAACATTTTATCTACCTTTTTTCAAATGATCATCCAGTCCAACCCGGCACGTATGCACTGCATATGTTCACGAGAAATGAATCGACGAAATTAGGGAAATAACAAATGAAGATCAAAAGAAATGTAAAGACGAAACAATATCAGTTTAAGCAAGTGGTTAGTTACAAAAGTATGAAATATATCTTATTGAAATTGAAACTATAACGGCCTAAGCCCACCAGTAGCAGATATTGTCCTCTTGGGGTTTTTCCTTTTGGGATTCCCCTTAAGGTTTTTAAAACGGTAGGGAGAGGTTTCCACACTCTTATAAAGAATGTTTCGTTCCCCTCTCCAACCGATGTGGGATCTTACAATTCACCCCCTTCGGGGCCCAAAGTCCTCGCTGGCACACCACCCGGTGTCTGCTGATACCATTTGTAACGGCTCAAGCCCACCAGCAGCAGATATTGTCCTATTTGGGCTTCCCCTTTTAGACTACCCTTCAAGGTTTTTAAAACGTGTCTCCTAGGGAGAAGTTTCCGCACTTTTATAAAGAATGCTTCGTTCCCCTCTCCAACCGATGTGGGATCTGACAGAAACAGCCAAATCGTGAGATAGAAAAAACGAGAGGAATTGGAAGAAAGAGAATGATACTACCCTTTCATTCGTTCGTAAAACAAAAGGGAACAATTTTGCCAATACGAGCATTAAAATGTCGACGAACTAGCTTGTTGAAAGTCGGGAGAAAAACATACACTTCTTTGAACTTTGCAACCCGTCATGAGTAGTGATGCATCCAGCTTCAAAGTATGATCTAAGACTCTCCGTATTGTTAGTTTCAACAACATTCTCGATCAACTTTGATGTTCTGTTTATCGCAGGTCGTCGAAGAAGCTCTGCAAAGGCGAAAACAATAACTACAAAACACAACACTGCATCCTAACAGTAGAAGCAGATGACAAGTATCATATCAGATAAAGAACACACACCAAGTCCTTGCTGAACGCCAGAAAGCAACTGGCTTCCAAGAGTCCCCAATTCCTCGAGCTGTCCAACGCTGAATGCTACCAATATCAAATATTTACACCAATCAAGTGGAACAAAATAAGAGAAAAGACATACAAATCTAAGTCATGCACGAGAGGTTCCTTATCCTTTTTATCTTATTTTGATTTATACGAGCGTTCCGGAAAACTTGCTGGCCCCTTAACTATTCTCACAGGACCATCTTACAACCCTACTTCGTTCAGTTGTCAAGGTAACTCGTAAGATATTAAATCTTAGACAGGTAACCACCATAGCTTGAACTCATTTTCTTTGAGCCCTTCGTTATTTACACGACCATTATTGACTACTAGACCAATTCAACCGTGCTTGATTGATAGAAGCTTATTACAAATCACATTTTCTAAGCCAGCTGATATACCAATAAGTAGAGAGTTGAAATTTTCCTTTCCTGAAGATTCTTTAAAAGCTATTGAGAAAATGGCAGTAGAATCTTCATATAAAACTAATGAAGAAAATGTTAAGGTTACCTAGCCATGAACTCTTTAAAAATCTTGAAAATCTTTTCTCTTGGCTCGTGTTCAACTTTAACTTCTTCCATTCAAATTCTGCAAAATGATTAAGGTAAAAGTGTTAAATCGCTACTAAATCCATAAGCGAAAGTCTAAGTTAAGGGATATTAAATTCGTGATCAACTCCATTTCTGAAAATCCAATAAATAAGTTTTGTAATTGCTAGAGCATTTCAGAATTGGGCGTATGAACAATCTGGAAGTTAATGAAATCATACAACAATTTCAAAATTGGGCGTGAGCGATGACGAAGATTAATCAAACAGCATAAGAATCATAATAGAAAATATTTCAAAAACTAAATCTGCACCGTACAGCACCTATTGAACTCTTCGGTAAAATCAATTGACAACAACAGAATTTAACATTCTAATTCAAAAAATTGACTCGTAAATTTTCCTTACCTTCTTTGAAATTTCCAATTACTCCAACTCGAATCAGCTTGTTCGGTCCAAGACGGATTCCGTCGCCCGCTGTTTTTCACTTGAAACGGGGAGAATGCGAGAGAGAGACAGAGAGAGAGAGTTTTGTTCGCCGATTAATCTACGAGGGAACAAGAAGAGATGGCGAAGAGAAACAAAGTAATGGAACTCAAAGCAACCAATGGCGAAGAGAGAGCGTGAAGATTCCGGCCGGACGGCGGCGGAGGCGGCGTAATAAACAGAGAGGAAGAGAAGTGAAAGAGAGACTTCCCTCGTGGAGAACCGGGCGGTGAAGAGACTTTGTTTAAAGGTAATTTTAAAATAGGCTAATTTAATAAAAATATGTTTAATTTTGTATTATATTCTTTTGAATTTCTTCCAATTTTAATTTATATACTTTCAAATATCTAATTTTATTCTTTATATTTTTAATAAATCTTAAAATTAATATTAATAAATCTTAAAATTAGTATTAAGTTAATTTACTGTTGAAATTTTAAAAAAAAAATCCAAATTAATTTTTTCTTTATAAACTTTCAAAAAATATTCGCATGAAAATTATTATTAGTATTTAATAAATTTGGATGAACCCGAACATTTAAAAATACGAAAATCAAAATTGAACAAAATCTTAGAACACAAACACATTTACGATAGAGTAGCCTATTAACTTTAGCTTCCGAGCTTACACTAACACTCAAATATACACTTATTGTTGGGAAGCGCTTAAATCTCTTGATGAACATTTTAACACCCGAGCGTTGAGGTGGAAGTTGTAGAAGAAACAAAACAAACCCATTTCATGAAATTCTACGTTCATGCGGTTTGAAAAATATGCTCGAGTTTAGTTAATATATTCTAAAATTTAGAATTTCATTTGTTTTTTATAATTTGTGATAAAACTCTCAAAAATAGTGTTCGGAGTATAGACTAGAACGACGCCGCTCGTGTAAGCTTTAGAAGCTTTTCTTACAACACAAAGAACAATTAACATCATTCTATCATTTGGTGCAAGAGTTATGAAGCTCTAAGTTTTCACAACATATAGAAAACTAATAATAATATAAAACCCAGGAATTTCCAATGGAAGAAATAACAATCTTTAGAGAAGCATCATCATCATGATCTCCCTGGCCAGTACATACCTCAGGGCGAAGAACACGAACGAGTGCGAAAGTTGAGCTTCTACTGTCGGGTTTTTGTCGACGACCTTCCTGCTTAAACTCTTGATTTGCCATCTCCGTGATGGTCGGGCTTTGTCGATAGCTCTACGCATAATAATTCAAGCTTGCTTTCTTCTTGGCTTGAACCTGGATGATACCTTCATTGAAGTCCTCATGGTTCACCTAAAAAAAAAAAAATCATTATTAAGACTTTCACCCGGGGCTAAATACTCCACATTTTATGTAACAGCTCTAACAGCTCAAACCCACCGCCAACAGCCAATAGATATTGTTTTTTTTGGACTTTTCTTCCCGTCAAGGTTTTTAAAACGCGTCTACTAGGGAGACGTTTCCACACCATTATAAAAAAATATTTCGTTCTCCTCCCCGACGCTAAATATTCCACACATTTTATGTAACAGCTCAAACCCACCGCTACCAGATATTGTCCTCTTTGGGCTTTTCCCTTCTAGCTTCCGCTCAAGGTTTTTAAAATACGTCTACTAGGGAGAGGTTTCCACACCATTATAAAGAATATTTCGTTCTCCTCCCGACGTAGGATCTCACATTTTAACACACTGAATCTTCTCTCTCCTTTGCCATCGAAGGCTCTCATGCCCCATGGCTTAACATCTCAAGCTTAAATATACTCCAGATTATTTTCTTTAGTGTTGTAAGCTGAAATAACGAACTTCATTAAGACTTATATGATCTATAATGCCCTCTCCCAAATTCGCTCGAACGATTATACGTATGTACATATGTGTATATACATATATCCATCATATTGATCCCCCCACTGCACTGTTCTATGGGGAGAATTCATGAGCCCTAACACTAGCCCTCCAAGAGATATCAAGGTTTTCATTCATTAAGCTTTCGACCTGAAGAAGACCTTGAACCGGCCTCGAAAAACCTCCCCGAGAACATCCATTTCAAATTTTACCGTTGGGGATTACCATAGAGACCTCTCATCATTGTATCTTCGAAGATATCATGCAGCATATATCTTAAAAACATGATAAATGAACGGTGTGTGTGTTCGTGCATGAACGAAAGAGGGTCACCTCAGTAGCATCACGGCGGAGAGCCAGCATGCCTGCCTCAACACAAACTGCTTTTAGTTGTGCACCATTGAAATCATCAGTGGATCGAGCTAGTTCTTCGAAGTTAACGTCTGGGTGGACGTTCATCTTCCTCGAGTGGATCTACAATTGTGTTTAAAAATATGAAATGAAAAAATTTATATATATTACATGGAAAAAGGCAGCACAATAAAAAAAAATTAACATAAAAACCTGCATGATTCGAGCCCTTGCTTCTTCAGTAGGATGAGGGAATTCAATCTTTCGATCTAATCGACCAGAACGCATGAGCGCGGGATCAAGAATATCAGCACGATTTGTTGCTGCTATAACCTGCAATAGTAAGAATTCTAATTCAATAAAATGACAATCAAGCATCATGAAATACAAATAAACCCCCAAAGCCAGAAATTTTTCAAGTAAAATTCAAATGCAAACAAAATCAACATAAACACATCCTACACTGAGGTGAAACAATGAATGGCTGACATCAAAATAATTCAAGAAAGGAATAAAAGAAACCTTGATGCGTTCATCGCTGCTAAACCCGTCGAGTTGATTGAGTAGCTCTAACATGGTTCGCTGCACCTCCCTGTCTCCGCTTACTTCACTGCAGCCAAAAAGTAATAATAATTAAACAAAATGAGAGAGTTTTGGAAAAGTATTGGAGGGGAGGGGGCAAACATCAACAGACCTGTCAAATCTCTTTGTTCCAATAGCATCAATTTCATCAATAAAAATGATGCATGGGGATTTTTCTTTTGCAAGCTGAAAAGCATCTCGAACAAGTTTTGCTCCATCCCCAATGAACATCTGCAATAGTTCCAAGTTATACATAGCTAATAGACAAATCTATAAGGAAAGAAAGACAAAAGAGTACAAGAACCACATGGAGCCATTCAACAGCATAGGAACATCAAAATAACCTAAAAAGAACGGGGGCGCTCAGTTTTTAAACAAACTTTTAGCTTCATTAACACGGTACAGTGCAGAAAACTAGCAAACAACCCAAAAATGAAGGACACAAAGTCTTTGAGGTTCAGTACTTATATAACTATTTTACCCAATCAAATTTGTACCTGAACAAGTTGTGGGCCAGCTAACTTCAAAAAGGTAGCATTCGTTTGTGCTGCACACGCACGTGCCATCAAAGTTTTACCAGTTCCAGGAGGCCCATACAAAAGCACACCTTTAGGTGGACGAATTCCAAGTTTCTGAAATCGCTCTTTATGAGTCATGGGTAAGACAATGGCCTCCACGAGTTCTTGTATCTGTGCCAATAATATAACAATCAATTAAAATGATATCCAATATGACCTGTAAACTAATGAACGTATGGACAGTGTCAAGAGTCTGAGAGTACCTGCTTTTCCAACCCTCCAATGTCATTGTAGTCTTCTGTTGGCTTCTCATCAACCTCCATAGCCTTCACTCGAGAATCATACTCAGACGGCAGAGTATCCAAAATCAGGTAACTATCCTTGTTTACACCAACCAAGTCACCTGGCTTTAGCTTATCAGGATCTACAAGCCCGACAACAGGTAAAAAGATAGTCTGCAAACAACAAAACAATAATTCAATACAAGTCTAGCCAATTTCTAGCCTATAAAAAAGTGGGACCTTCATTAATCACATGACATTTCTAAGCTATCAAACTAAAGAAATCCTGGTAAAGTTACTCATCTTCCATGCCTAGTTCATGCAATTAACATATCTAGTATCCACCATTACAGCTCCAGTCAACCAAAAAAATCAGTTAGAAATTGCTATAATTTCAACTTACGAAAGACCACACCAACTTCTATTATTGAAAGATCACAACACTGACTAAGGAAATTCTAGTAGCATCCTGGCATTCACAGTCAGAAGTGGAGGATATTATGATTAAAAAAAAATTGGTCATAGCGAACCTGACGAGTGGAGGTCTTCAGGACAACACATTTTCCTTTCCTTTGCGAATCAAGATCAATATTTGCACCATCTTCCTCTGCTTCATCTTCTGGGTTCATTTCCAAAATCTGAAAAAAGACAATTGGTCAGAAACAGAGTTCAAATAATATGGATAAATACTCAACATAAACCTAGATCGCCACCAAAAACAAGAGGAAATTGGCGTTCCAAGCATTAAAAGAACACACCAACTGTAACTCCAAGGGGGTATAGAATAAAAAGTCACAATAGTTGATCTATGATTAACACGCCATTGGATGGCAAATTGAAAGGAAGAGAACCTACTGCTTTTAATAAAAATGTCTTTATACAACTCTCTAAACCCTATTTACAAGGGCTTCAAAAGATCACCTTCACCACAGAATCTACCTAATAAGAATCCCTAGCTACTTGGCTCAGAAATAGACGAAAAAAAAACTAAAAAAAAAGTGTACTTTCGACAGATCCACTTCAAGAATGACTTTCACCCACGGATATCCTTGGGTTGATATAGAATATCAAGCTCAGGAACAATTCCAATTAGGGCTCACAAACAAGTTATAATTCAGAATAAATCATTTCTGTTTCTGTATTTTATATAAATATTTAAACCACTACAGTTCAGCAGCCTTCGCAAGATTTCATTTCAAGCACAAAAACTACTATCCCGGACCCTCACATAAAAACTAGACCTGGAACTTGCTACTAGGAAAATATAAAATACACATATAAATAATTCTGCGAGAAAAAGAATTAGCTTGAGAGCACAACAAGTCAACAGCATACCTCGACAATGTTCCCGACCAAGTAAGGCAGCTGCTTATTGAGTTTAATCTTCTCCTGATTCTCCTTTATCTTCTCCTTGAGTGATTCCAAGTCCAGATTTGTTCTTTGCACTTCTTCCTACACGTCCAAAATCACTCCAAAAATCATAAATCTCCTCTATTAATTGCAAATTTGACGAACAAATCAGAAAGACAGAAAGAGAGTTTGTTTTTCAAAGTAACTGACATAAAATGAACAAAACGAGCCACAAAGAACTCCAAAAGCAAGCAAGTTGATGATTTCATACACGAACATACAGAATTGAATTAGAGACATGATTGAAAGAGTAAAGAAGACTAAGAGACCTTGAGAATTCGGATCTCATTGTCGAGCAGACGCGAAGCCCTAACAATGTCGTCGGTGGTCATAGAAGCAAGCTGATCGTCCTCGAAGTTGGAATCTTCAACCATAGCCGTCGCCATGAGGATAAAACTCGATTGAGTTGAGTTGCAGAAATTGAAGGAAATTAAACGAGACGAGCAGAAACGGAGAGGAGAAGAAGAAGAAGAAGTGAAGGGAAAGAAAAAGGAAAATGGAAGATTTTAACTTGTCGCCGAAGAAAATGGAAGAGGCTAAGTGGACCGTTTAATGGGCCTGTCTATTTCACAATTGGGCCTACTTCACTGAATGTGGGCTTTTGCCTCAGCATCCTAATTTATTTTTAAATAAAAATAAGTCTAAATTTGTATTTGTTTAAAAAATACCCGAAACTTTAAAAAAATAATAATAAATAAATAAATAATAATTAATTTTGAATCCTTTAAACTTTTAACCGTATTTTAAAAGTATTTAAAAAATAATCTTAAGTTTGATTAATTTCATTTAACTTTTTAATATTAATTTCATAAATATCATCTAATTTTATTAGAAAGTTTTAAAATATTAGTTTCATTGATATCATTTAATTTTATTAAAAAGTCTTAAAATATTTTTATTAATATGTGTTTAAAAAATATACATAAAATTTTAAAAGTAGTAATACCATTTACCTTTATAAATAAAAAAATACTCAAAACTTTTTTTTTCATCATTTATCAATTCTCATAAATTATTTTTAAAAGTTTAGGAGTATTTTTTAATGAATTATTAATCGATTTTTTTTTAAGTATAAATTTAACAAATTTTTTCATTAATTTGACCTAAAAATAACTTTTTAATCTCTTTGTGTGACGTATAAATAAATAAAAAATGGATAAGGATAATAAATAAATAAATAAAACTCTAGATTTATAGATTTATACTATTTTTGTCATTATTTTTATTATCTTTTTACTTTATATTAATATTTTCTTCTTGAACTATTTTTCTAATATATATTAATATTGATTCCTCCCCGTTACGGTTATAGTTGTAGACGATATCAAAAGTCAACCTGAAATAACTTTAACGTTTCAAAATTTATTGTTAAGAAACTTGTACGATATTAAATAAAACTCCTAAAATATTAAACATTAGATAAGTGAATTAAATTAATTTATTCCCGACTCTTTACTATTCTCGTAATCATTATGATAGTTTAAATATTTTCTATTTAACTAAACAACAACAAAAAAAAAAAAAAAAAAAAAAAAAAAAA